TAATCCTTCTTTCCTTTAATAGTGACCATGATTTCACTGAACTTTTTAAATCTATACAATCCAAAATATCTTTGTTACTATAAAGTAACATTAAATGTTGAAGACGATCTGCTCCCATAGTCGATCGTAAATAGTTTTTAACGATTTTCAGTTTACTGAAAGCGCGTTCGTTTGAMGCAGTACTTACGGGAGCTSTAAGTACTAGCCTGCATAGCTTGTTTGCAGTTGGCAAACAAGTTTTACAATCTTCAGATAATTTAAATATTTTTGTCAAGCTATCCAATTTTTTCACGTTACACTGATGATCTAAAACTTTCAATTCGGCAATCACTCCGTCATAGTCATTAATTTTAAAATCTTTGCATCCCGGTGGAAATAGTTCGATTACTTTTTTTACATTTTCTGTTGAACAAATTTGTTTCCATGGCATTTTAAACAAAGTAATCATTGGTTCAAATGTCACCAAAGATTTTTTTAGATGTTCATTYAATAAAACAATCAAAGTATTTAGAACTTTTTTAAATTCTACTCGATAAAAAGTAGGTAAATCAATCGAACACTGTGTGTTTGGATTTTGGTCAATTCTTTTTGGCAAAAGTCTTTTTCGATGATGGCGATTAAAATCTGACACTGGATCAATACCTAACTGTTCAGAAAATGTTATTGCACTGCTTACTAGGTTGTTCGTTGCTGTATCATCGCTGTTCATTTCATTTAAGCTACTTATTGAATAATCAATCAACATTAAAGCATCAAGTATGTTCAATTCAGTAGCTTCAAGTTTTTCCGTTAATATTTTGGTCTTGTACATTATATTTTTCATGAAAAATAAGGAAACAACGAAGTCAAATGAAAGAAKTTTTTTTACAAGTCCTAGTGCTTGATTTCGTGTATTTTTGTCCATGTTATGCAAATTAATTATCTCCTGTAAAGTTTCAATTATTATTTCAAATGAAAMCCACACARCTTTTATAGATTCCGCACGCGCTGTCCATCTAGTTTTTGAAAGAWTACGGAGTTGTAATGAATTTTCTATGGTGGCTAATTTTGACTTAAGGTGAATGTGTCTTTTGGTGCTAGCCGAGAAAAAAACGTATAGATTTTCAAGTGTAGAAAAAAGATCGCATATTAAAATACTAGCATCACAACTATGCTCAAGAAAGGTGTTTAATCTATGAGCTTGACATGGTATGAAAGGAATCATATGGCCAGCTAGTTCTGATAATTTTTGTTGTGTTCCATTTATTCTACCTGACATACTACTAGCATAATCATAAGATTGAAAAGCAATATTATCTACAGGTAAACTATTTTCAACCAAAACTTCATAAATTTTTTCCGCAACACCTAATCCAGTTTTATCTTTTGCCTGGCATACATCTAATAGCCTTTCTGATACATCCCCTAATGAATCTATGTAACGTACACAAACTGAYAATTGATCACTTCGTGAAATATCCGGGGTAGTATCTGCCATAACAGAGTATATACCAGCATGTGTGACATCTTTTATAATTGTTTTCTTTACATCATCAGCTAATAACTTAATAAATTCGTTTTGAGAATCATGACTAAGGTATGTAGTTTTATGATTTCGAAACGATTTTTCCTCCAACCAYCTTTTCATCACCGGTGAATGCCGAGATAATAGCAAAACAATTTGATTAAAATTACTATTTTGTTCATCTCCGTCTCCTCTATATGCCAAACCTTGTCGAGCTAGAGTACGAGTTATATCAAATAACATACATAAAATGTCCTGATGAAAACGTTTTTTATGGTCCAGCTCAATTGCTTGAAAACGATTTGATTTATTCAACAAGCAGTCAATATGATTAGAACTATTTAAAAAGTTGCTAAAATCATCTAATGCAGATTTATGAGATAACGAAGTAAAATGTTGAGTTAATTTTCCAGGTTTTTGCTTACCTCGGCTTTTCATTTTACTCCAGGCTCTAACACCATTTTCAACCCAAGCTGGATYAGCAAATTGCCTATTTGGACCTTTAGGAAATAATGTGCAAATAAAACAATAAACAGCATCGTTTACTATACTATATTCCAAATGAGGATATTCAGTAAACCATACTGAAGTGAACTGATTTTGCTTTTTTGGTGAAATATCGGAATTCTTAGGGTATTTGGCTAGCTTAGGTTGACAGGGTCCTAGACTAAGAAGATACTTTCTTTGTGATAACGATTCAACTCGTTTTCTCTTTCCAGGATCATGTTCAAGAAAATGATCTATAATATTATCATTCTCTCTTTCTGGTAAAGGCTTTAATAAATTATTTATAACTTTTTCTGTAATTTCTATATACTTTTCTGATTTTATCCTTAAAGAAGACACAATCTCAGATGTATTAACTAAAAAAGATATAGGGTTTGGAGATATTTCTGTCTTAAGTTTTGTTAATAAAGCATTACATTCTTGAAAGCTGTTAATAATTGTTTCAAGCATTCCTGCACAAGCTATCCAATCATAATTGTCTTCTTTACCAACAAAGAATTTCTCTCCTAAGAATAACATAATAAATATTATATTGTATTACATTACATGTAATATTATATTTGAAAATATTATGAAATAATTCTTTATTACATTTTTTAATTATAACAAAATATATACACTTAATAATTAATAATAAAAAGATTTTAAATTTATCCGATTAGTATCTATAAGTTCTATAATGTTTATATACCAACACCATTATGGTACATGCATGTTTTTTTAATCAAAAGGTCCACTTTTATAGTTTTATTATGCACTACTTATGTTACTACTTAATGATTTTTACTAACCTGCATCTTCACCATCAAAGTTTTTATTTTCACTGCTATTATTATCATTTACATCATCAAATGTATTCTAATATAAACAATTATAATAAAATACATAATTTAAACTTGTAATTTTAAATAACATGGGAGTATAAAAATTATTATAATAAAAGTAATTACTAGAGGCTCCAAAATATGTTTCCTATCCTCGGTGATAATTTCATCAAAGTGTAATTCTGTAGTTTGAAGCAAATCCTTAAAAAAAAATTTGAATGAGTCACTTTTATGTTATAAAATTACAAAACCACTCAAATCATATTTTTACAATCAATAAGTTTAGAGTGCAATATTTTATTTTTAACAATAAAAATGTTAATGCTTACCGATTCTGTTACTTGCTTTTGCTTAATGTTTGTTGTAAAAGGATTTTCTGGTGTTCCTGCATGCTTATTTTCACTGATATTATTCTCATTTACAACTGATTTTTCAA